TCTTTCGTATATCTTTCTTGCAAATTAGCCATCTGACTGTTCAGAACATGGCGGGTAGAAGGCTGTACTGATGATTCCTGTTCCTACCCGCATGCAGCTAAGGGATGAAACACAGAATACACCACAAAATGTCCTCCAGCACATGACATTTAAGACCAATCCTTCTCTTCTGCTATCAGACTAATGGCTATACATAAGTGGTACGATGATCTCTAATCGGACCTTGTGGAAAAGTTTTTGAATGGACTTTATTGCCTCTCGTGCTTAAAAGTGGAGCTCTCCCGTGCTATACGGCAAAAATGCATTTGCTGCGACCTTTATTTTGCTGGCGATTAACGTAATAGCGAAATGAATGTTACCCATTATCTGGCTTAAGTCGATGGTTTCATCGCATTTACGGGAAATTTGATTCTTCGAATTTGATTTGATGGCGAACCGAAAGTGGCTTTTGCGGAAAGGGTGGGAGGGGGAAGGAGGAGTCAAACTGCCTTTAGCACTGGGAATGCGGCCCGAAAACTTTGTCAGCGGAAGAGTTCTACAGGAAATGCCTTCGCCGGGCTTATTCATGAAAAGTCTGCTTTCGGTAGAGATTGAATGAAATGAGGCATATCCTAGCTTTTTTGTTACAGCCTTTTATTTTATGAACGTTTATTGGTTCCGGTTTCTCAAAATATGAAATTTTTCAAATGCTAGCAAATTTCTGGTGAAATAGCTTCATTTCATATCCACCTTGTGTTGTTTGAGATATGACTTTGTCTTCAGCATCAAAGGACGAAGTGGGAGGAGAATCGCAAACGTTGTTTGCACCTTCTTGGGATGAAACTTCAAAGGAATCCTCGAGCGTTACAATACAAATCAACGACGATTTGGAAAGTGCTAGTGAGGTTGACGAGAATGCGGCGGCATTCCTACAGCAATCTATGAACTCAATCTCTTCATTTGTGCTCACTCCACCCGAACAGATACTTGAGGAAGCGGAGCAAGAATTGCCTCTGGACAACAACACCCGCTCGGGTATTTCTAAAATTTCTTTTATTTAGCAAATCTGTGAAAATACTTCTGTGAAATGAGTCCATTCTACAATAATTCCTTTTTTTTTGCATGTTTAATCCAGTATTTTTTATTCCAGGCACGCCGAAGTGCACTGAACATTCATCGGATTCGTGCCCGACACTTCAGTTTTCCAGGAATACCGCGCTTTCCATGGAACCACTTCGAGTGTGAACTGTTTGAAGAAATTTCGATTTTGTTAAGTTCTCTTCAAAAAAAGCAAACGGGCAGTTTGTTTTCTACCTCTCAATCTTTTAATTTCCTCAGAAGCGATGTGGGTTGTTTTTGTTATAAACTGATTTATTCATTACAACTGAATTTTTTTTTTTTTTTTTAGAGGTTGACAGGCATGGCAACCTCTAAAAAAAAAAAAAAAAAAAATTCAGTTGTAGTTTGTTTTCTACCTCTCAGTCTTTTAATTTCCTCTTAATCTCTTTTTGTTATAAACTGACTTATTCATTACAACTGAATTTTTTTTTTTGTTAGAGGCTATTGCTGCTTATATGCTGAAGTCTCAGGATACGATCCCGGTAGTAGAATGACCATTCCCCGCACGATCTGCTCAACTGGCTTCGTTGATAGGCTGGTACTGGAATATGCAGAGGGAGCTAAATTGCTACTAGCGGGCCTTTGACTCGCAATCGAAAGAGGGAAGCCATCGACATCCTTGCCAGTAATCGATTGCTCTTGGCATGTGTTATCATTCAGACTATCTCCGAGTGATTTTGTCTCTTGCCGAGGACAGATATGGGAGAGGGGAGGCTTTTTTCGACCCTTAGCTTTAACATGAAAGATGACGGGTTTGGCGTAGGTCTGCCCAAGTGAATATTAGTAATACTTAGAATTCCAAACTAACAGTTTGTACGAACTTGGCCTGTGAGTAGTTGGAAGTTCCAGGGCCAAAAAATTACGGAAGCTACTGCACGATTGAAGTGATCATACTTTTTCATCAAAATACATGAGTATTATGTAATAAGTCGGGAAATCAATGTATAGTTTTTGTTAAGTTTTGTATTAAACACTGACGAAATCATGAAACATCATTTCCTAGTTTTCGTGCTCCCCATAGAGGAGAAATATTGGAACGAAAAATCGCACATCCTTTTAACAAATGAAAAACGCCTCTAACATGCAAGTGTGCTATTTAGCTCAGATTAGCTCAAATTTAGCTCAAATTCAGTTAGGCTCAAACTACACAATTTGTTATTTGTTATCAGATTGAAAGTTATTTGTTTTTTGTTCTATTTTCAACCCTGTAAACGGTTTTTTTTTTGTAAATTCTCGCAGTTATGCATGTATTGTTGAGTATAAATTCTATGTAGGTCGAACCGAGGAAAGCAGAACACATAATGAAGGAGAGAGTCATCGAAGAATAAGAAGTACTTAAAAAATCAGAACACAACAAAAATACAAAAAGCACCGAGTATTTATTGTACGGGAGGAAATGGAATCAAAATAAGCAGCATGAATGCAAAGTTCTTTACCCTTAAAACTATCTTGAAAAAACAACTCAAATAATTCACAAAATGGTACCCGATTTGTGATAAAAAGTTCAGAAATTTTAATTTTTTTCGAAATCTCCCCACAAATGTGGTCCCTTCTTTCCTCCTGCATCCAGGCAACTTCGTACTTCTTAACAAAGGTGACATCAAACCGTTGAAAATGAAAGAAAAACACAAAAAAGGCAGCTGAGAACCCTGAACAAAGTATTCCTCAGACAGTAATAAACAATGTACAAGATAGCAGTGAAGAGAGTTTCAATTCCTAACGCACACATGGAGGTGCAAGCAAGTCCAGTCCTTTTTGCAAAAAAAAAAAGAAGGCCAGATTTCGGCCCGTTTTTTTTTAAATCTTGAAATTATGATATAGCTAAATTAAATCCTGTTTAATTTATTTAAATTTATTGATTTAAACTGGACTACGTTGCACGAATGAAGAACTGGGCTGTGAATTGCAGTCAGTCCAAACATCCAAGTAGGTAATAAAATTTCGCAGAAAGACTACTCAAAATACAAGTAGATCGTTGTAGAATGAAAGGAATGTGGAGGTGCGGCGCAGCAGCCATTAGCTTTTGCTACTTTTCTTCCATGTGAATCGGCCACTTGCTTTACTCCCTACTGGGCTCCACACAAATTTACCAGCTGTAACTAAATTCTAGCAGTATTTTCTACTATGATTAATGTAGTACACAACATGAGCTGATGTCTATAGCGCACCGGCAAGCAGCATTTCTCTCATGCGCAAAGCCAACGTTCGACTTCGCCTGTGAAATAACCAGTCCACTCAAGATTCGTCCATTCATTTCGATGATAAATTGGCACTGTCTAGAAGGCGAACCTTCTCGAGAGTAATAATCATTGTGATTTTTTTCATTTACAATTTACACTAATGTACATTTTTGTGTGAAACGAGTATTCAGTCATTTAACGCCAAGAATATCAGTCAGCTGGGTGTGACTGCTCATATTTCTCGACGAACATAAGAATTCCGCCAAAATGTCCATTTTCGACGGTGAGAGACCACGCTTTCGGCCGGTGTCGGAAGGCTGGTGGCCGCCTGAAGTCCCTCGGCCAGTCCCAACATTCTGTGCGCGACGACGATGGATTACAGTGGCAATTAGTTACAGAGCGGAACAATGGGCCGCAACAGCGGATCAAGCAAGCGGAGCGGCAAACAGGAGGCTGGTCTGGCACTCCCACCTCTTTTTTACATTATTATTATTATTATTCCGCATATTTGTGTAGTAATATGTTGTTATTGAGCTATTTCATATTTCGTCCTGCGTGTTTTTACGTTCTTTTGTCAGTTATTGACAAAGGTAATTTGAATTTGGTTTCTGAATTTGAAGATATCTGATACCCAAATTTGAATTTAAAGATACCCAAATTTGAGAGTATGTGGACGATTTGGAGCCAACGTATAATGCACATCCAGCTGGCTATAATTTTTATTATTTTATGTATAAATTCTTTTGAGTGGATAAATATTTGAAGCTGGTGTAGCAATCGATTAACGGTCCCGGCAGTAAGCGCACTGACTCTAGGAGCCGGTATCGGCGTTCACGACAGGCACTAAAGTCAACTTATTTCTAAGCAGTTCTTGAAATAAGCCATCAATAGCACTGGTAGTAGCAGGGTCTTTGCTTTTGGCATGTGGTACCAGTCGAGCTACTTTCTGGTGCCTCCGTCTTTCATACAAAACGTATATATAACGGGTTTTGACTTTTTGATCGTGGCATTTTAGTGAATCTCAGCAAAATTTGATGCTGGCAAGCAGATGCTTCAGTCTTTCAAGGGCCACATAATTTCAAGTGTGAAAAAAATAAAAGATAAACGGACGGGTAGTTACTAGTTTTAACGGAAACACATCGTACATTTCTGAAAAAGAAGGACCGAAATGTGAGCGCAGTGCCGCCTAACTCATGCTTGTAGTTAAGTTGTGAAATGAAACCTCACTAGAGTTGCATTATGCCCAATTTCGAGCAATGAAGCACCTACTTGAAGTTCGACAGACCGTTTCGCGCACCAGCCGTCGCTCTTCTGGTGTTGCTGGCGAATAATTAAATGGTCGTCGTAGATGCTCAACCCAGGATTGTTTTGCAACTCGGTCCTTGCAGGTGAATATCATTTCTTTACCGATCATAAGCAATTTCCATGAATTTTTCAGGTTGAGGCCCGTTGACGAATCTGCAATATGTCTTCAGTGGTAGTAACACTGGAAAAGTTATCAGTTACATATTTTGAGATTGAATCTAAAGTTGTCCGCTATTTTCGAGAAATATGCAATTTTGAGATTTTTAGGTGTGACAATCGCCAAAAAATCCGAAATATATCAATCTGTCCTACTAGTTATCTTTTACCTATCAACTATCAGAACGAATTTACCCAAGTAAAATTCTATGAGTTTCATTACTGTTTTATTCAGCAATTTATACGGAAGTTAAAATCAAAATTCCCTTCGTTTTTCATTTTTTGGAAGAGGCATAGGCATTCAGAAACTCATCGGCACTAGTGCTTTTCTTGACAGTTTGGTTGTAACCGGGTTTGCTGAGCATGTCAGTGGATAATCGGAACAGGTTGTAAAATAAGTGATTTTATAATTCGTGAACTGGAATCAGCTGTATAGGAGTTGATGGTTCTTGTCTTGGTACCTGGTGCGCTACCAAATTTCTAGCATCTATTAAATGGGGTACCAATTTGTGAAATCGAAGGTTATATATTTGGGACAGCTGTAGACGAAATCTCTATATGTGTAGCTGGTAATTTTCCATAATATAATCTTACTTTGTACTTGATAGGGCTACTGGTTCATCACTGATTTATATTCGGGGCACTCTTCATTGGTGTAGCCAGTAGCCATGTCATTTTCATGCTAATTTCACACTGTTTTAGCTATTTTTACAAGCGGTAAGTAGCGTACCTTTTCCATCATCGCAGTCCAAGAATGTTGCCAAATTAAGCGAAATTTGATCACGGAATAAATAGAAATTACGCTTAATGAGATCTTTTTTGCAAAGCACCAATGACTGGTCGAAGAGAAACAGCAGGACATCTTTGTGCCAGATAACGGTCCCTTCGACCACACAACGACAATACACTTCACCACGATGCACCATTCGACTGTTTGTTTCGACCAAGTCAGGACCCTAAAATACTCTCCATCACTAAACTGCATCTAATTACGATGGCCACAAGAAAACGAATTTCAAGGTCATCAGCAGGCTGATCACTAGCGAATGCAGTATTGACCAAAGCAGCTTTAAAAATTTGATAGTTGCACAGCTGAAGAAGTAGACTATCAATTTCAGCTGAACCAAATATGACGTCTATAGTGATTTCTACAGTGCTTCTGAAGTCTATAGTGCTTCTGAAGTTGTTAGCCCGGAAATGTAAAATCACACGGTCCTTGCTGTCCTTGAGCGTCAAGCAGGCACGAGCGAAAATCACTAAGGTGTATTAACAGCAACAGTAATTACCCGCCATCCTTCAACGTTCATTTGCCAGAGAGCGATTTTCTGTAGTCCTTCCAGTCGTCGTTTCTTTTCATTAATTTGCGCGGCAACACTTTTCATCGCGGAAGCGGCTGCCTGAAAACAGCCACAAGAAAGTTTTAGTCTAAAAGCATTTCCAAGGACAACGCATAAATAAGGTGGAAGAAATGGACGTGCATTTGTTGAATAATCCTTAAGATTTTATGTGCAAACACCAGTGAAATTTCTTGCAAAGATAACGGCGATAAATGCAGCTTTCGCTTAGACTCAATCCGAGTCCAACTGAGGGAAAAACAGTTTCCCTAGAAATCGCTCAGCTGTTTTCACGGTATGGCTTGCCAACATTGCCAGTGAAGTAAACCGTTTCTAGCGCAATCAGCAAAAAAAGAGCCATTTTTAGGATAATTTTATAAAGATGGCGTGACAGCGAACGTCGAAACATACAGCTTCTCAAGTATTCAAGTAAGTAAGTAAGTATGATGAGAAGTCAGAACCCCTTGTTAGTCAGAAATTAAAACCAGTCGGAAAGTAATTCGAATGGTAGAAAATGCCAACAGCAACCTCTCGCTGAGTAAATATCGATGGCTCTTTTTTCGAAGATTGTTTACAAACAAGCTGATGGTGGGTTTAATTCTCTGGCTAAGCCAGTACCAGTTAAACATCGTAACGAATGAGTGAATTGTAGAGCAAATTGTTGTTGGCAAAGTGTTATGAAGTACTTTCATATTTGAGGCAATCTGAGGTTACAAAGCAATTTGAGGTACTTTCATATTTCCTTTTCGTTGCGGAGGTTTTGCATTACACTTGATTGAGAGGTTTTGCATTTTACATGATGTACACGCAGTGTACCACGTGATGTGCTTTGGCAGATAGAAATTTTGCTTTTCAGAAATCGAATTGTGCTTCGGTACTGTGGAGGAAAGCCCAGATCTAGGAAACAAAAATTCCAGATCTGCTTCACATTCATTCGATAATTAAAGGAAGCATATAGTCAGGTCTTCTGAGCCGTGGGGCAAATTCTGCAGAAATCTTGCACAACGTAGTAACTGATACAGCAAGCCTGTAAATAAGTTAACACAAGCAAATCGACGGACCTTAAAATACTCGGAGACTGAATCATAGCCAAACAGTAAAGAAACCTATTAGTGACAAAAAGAGGGTAAGTCAGCAATGAGAAGCAGTTACAAACTAGTAGCTAAACTGGGATAAACTATCCAGGCCAAACTGGGATTAGTTATCAGACAAAATTTCACAAATTTACACTAAGCGCACTTGGACAGGCTCCCTGTCGCAGTGAGTCTGCGGTGTGGCTTTCAATAACTCGGATAACTGCAACGGATAACGACATATTCTTTGCACCGGTGTGAGCAGGAATCCTTCAAGCGGCAGTTTTGGCATTCCTCGGAGAAGACGACAGGCCTACAAAAAGAAATTTTTTCCAGCACTTGTCAACAAACGCTATGTCTA